ACATTAAAACCTTGAGGAATATGAAAAGCCAATGTTTAATGCTAAAGCCGAAGACATGATAAACTGTACCAACATTACAATGTTCCCCGATATGCATGCTTTACCTGGGTTACATACCGGTGATCTAAGTTAGAAATATATGACTGATATAAATTCTTTCAACACGGTAATCTCGCATATGCTTGGATTATCTATTATTCTCAAATGTGCTCCATTCAAGAAAATTATATAGAATTATGTATTTACTCTCCCCCATGTATTTTGCTCTTTAATGTAAAAGCTTTTTACATCTTACACATTTTAATTACAGATTCCGTTGTTTTGATTTATAATGCAAACAAACCAGGCTTTTCAATTTATTTTGTTTCAACAGATTTTTAAATATATGAATGGGGATTGACAAACAAGCTTTACTGGCTTATGTAAAAGCCGCCGCCCTTTAGGCTGAGTTTCCATGTGCGCGGTTTGCCACGCGGTTTGGGTCACGTTTAGGAAGGTGGGGGAAATGCTATGTACAAAAACTATGCTTAAAAGTTCGGCGACTTAGTTTCCATTGTGCGCGGTTTGTCGCGGTTTGACCTACTGCAACCCGCTAGGGGCTAGCAGTTGGTGAAACCGCGCAAATCGAAACAGTTACTTTATAGTGTAGTATTTCCATTGGCAAATCGAAACAGTTCATTTAGGGTGTAGTATTTCCATTGGCGCTGTCGAACGGTGCTCGATTATCCTCAACCGCATGGTAAGCCAAACATAGCGGTTTGACTAATCAGCATTGACTTTTACTCCATAAACTGTCATAAAGTATTCATAAAGTATCAGGGGTCATTTCAACTTGCAAAATGATTGACATAGTCCTTTATAGAGCGAGGATTGGGCTGTTTTCTCACCCGATTGACTGACATACAACATTCACATGGTTTAGAATGGTACAATGAATGGTAAAGCATGCAAATTACACTATTACGCGATATTTCATAAGAAAATATCATATCTCCGTTAAAACATAAAACCAATATTTATGAGTCCACATATTGATATAAGACTTTATCACTGTCTTCAATTCCAAAATATTAGATATAAAGTTTCGGACAGTTCAGTTCAAAATACTTCACAGGATTTGCAGCTAGACGAATATTACGTGACACCGGAATACTGATGTAACTGATTTCAGAAATCTTATTAATCCTCACAAACATTCGGTTTTAACACTAACTACTTAAAAACTGTCAACATATCCACGCCGTTATACTCTGATCTAAAATATATTGCTTAATACAGGCTACGATTTGAAAATGGTATCAGTGTAATACCAGGGGCTAGAATATCATGGTGCAACCAGGTTTCTGTTAAACATACAACATCATAACTATCAAATTTAGCACTGATAAAATCTACTTTAAAATCTACTAAGACTGCGTACGTTTTATATGTATATAATCTTTATAAGCAAAGTAACCCAAATATAGATAAATGTGTATCATCTTCCCGAAATAGATTCACCGAAACTGATTTGCATAACTGATGACCACAACATATTGCAAAATATCAAAATAGTAAAAATGATCCCCCCCCCCCCCCCCCCCCCCAACACAACACACACACACACAAGCACACACACACAAGTAACTAAATGTATAACCCAGAAAAAATAAAGGAGATAAGAAAATGAATAAAAATAACACATAAACAAATTCATTAAAACTATTGGCAACTGCATGGCAAGTATTTATAAAACGACCGGGGGAGGAAATATTCTGGGGGGAGATTTTATTTCGTACGGTGGGGGAGAGTTTACTTCGAGAGGGGCGGTACTGTACCGGTATAAATTGGCCGGGGGTGGGGGGGGGATTTTATTCTGGGGGCGAATATATTTCGTGACACCGGCACCCTATTCCTGGTCGTAAAAGAGACCAAATTGGGCAACCTGGGGGTGGGGATGGGGTGGTGGTGGCTGGGGAAGCCGGATCTGGCAATAGTGTTCCTGACTCTTTGACTTTGATTTGTCCAGACGGATGGTAGGATGGCGAATATTCCATGGTTAAGAATAATATGAGTCCAAACATTGTCAGAGTAATTTCTGAGGATTATACAGTCCAAATATCGTTAGAGCAATTTCTGAGGATTTTATACAATCCATATATCGTCAGAGTAATTTCTGAGGATTTTATACAATCCATATATCGTCAGAGCAATTTCTGAGGATTTTATACAATCCATATATGGTCAGAGCAATTTCTGAGGATTTGATACAGTCCAGATATCGTCAGAGTAATTTCTGAGGATTTATACAGTCCCGATATCGTCAGAGCAATTTCTGAGGATTTTATACAATCCATATACCGTCAGAGTAATTTCTGAGGATTTTATACAAACAATATATCGTAAGAGCAATTTCTGAGGATTTTATACAATCCATATATCGTCAGAGTAATTTCTGAGGATATTATACAGTCAAAATATCGTCAAAGCAATTTCGGAGGATTTTATACAAGTATGCTATGTAGACTTCAAACACATTTATACTGACGCCTCAAAGGATTGTTCCATGGTTCGTACTATTGGTGCGTTCTGGATCCCATGTCCGAAGTGTTCAGGGTTCCCGACTACATGTTGGTATTTGCAGCAGAAAAATATGACCATGAAGTACATTTTCCTGGGGGCGGTCGGGTAGCCTAGTGGTTAAACCTTCGCTCGTCACGCCGAAGACCCGGGTTCGAATCCCGAATCCCGTACAATGTGTGAAGCCCATTTTTGGTGTCCCCCGCCGTGATATTGCTGGAATATTGCTAAAAACGGCGTAAAACCTCACTCACTCACTCACTCACTCACTCACTCACTCACTCACTCACTCACTCTCACTCACTCACTCACTCACTCACTCACTCACTCACTCACTCACTCACTCACTCACTCACTCACTCACTCAATCACTCACTCACTCACTCAATCAATCAATCAATCAATCAATCAATTTTCCTGATTCAGGATGAGGTTGATAATTCTGAATTCAGGCCTTACCAAACAGACTCGAATGTCCATTGTCAAGTCGGCAACGTTTGAGGGGTGTTGGTTCTACTGGACGACATATATTGCCCACCAGTTACACAAAATTGTAAAATCCGCCGTTGTAAGAGACGCGATGACAGCGTTATGACTTGGCCTTCGTCTTGGTCACTGTTGGGGGCACGGGTGGCCCAGCCGTCTAAGGCGCCGCGATTCGCTGTGCAGAGTTGCGTACCTTGGGCACGCCCGAAATCTATTATTGTGGGTTCGAATCCCGGTTCGCACCGATTATGTTTCAAGGTTTGTCAGCACCATACCCGTGCTCGTGGGTTTCACCGAGGTGGTAAACGTCTGAAACCTGCATCACTTCGGGCTTTCCTCCCACATTAACTGGCACGACATGATATAACTGGAATAATGTTAAAAGCGGCGTTAAACCCAACTCACTCACTCACTTGGTCACTGTGCACTAGACGCCTACACAAGTGTTGATAATGATGAGGTATTCCCTGTGTGACCAATACAGTGAACATACGCCTGAAACAATTCAACATCACCTGTTCGAATGTTCTCGTTATGGCAACATAAGACAAAATCTTAGAAGTGCGGTGCTCGGGAAAAGTGAAACATGTTCCCTTGCTGCGATATTGGGCCCCAGCTATGGCTTAATTCAAAGTGCAATTTTACAGTATGTGACTGAGTTAGTCTAATAATATGTCGCAGAACTAAACATAAACCAAACAAAGGTATCGTTTATAAATCTTTTTAACATTTCTTTTTCCGTTAGAATGTTTGCTCTTTTACTGAACGAGAATCAGCTTTTTTTCTAAACGCTATTGTTTCTGCTTGATGTTTTAATTTATTTCATAAAGCAGAGGGTCCTGTCATTTCATCGGAGTAGTGTGTACAATGCCATACATTTAATCCATGATAAATTAATTACTTTGGTGCAGTAGATCAACTTATGATCTGTTACACTTGATGTGTTTGGCGCAAATATACTTTATTTCTGGTCCAAATCACCCTTATGCTACAACGCCGTGGTATTACTGGAATACTGTTACAAGCGGCGTTAAACCCAACTCACTCACTCACTCACCCTTATGCTACAACGCCGTGGTATTACTGGAATACTGTTACAAGCGGCGTTAAACCCAACTCACTCACTCACCCTTATGCTACAACGCCGTGGTATTACTGGAATACTGTTACAAGCGGCGTTAAACCCAACTCACTCACTCACTCACCCTTATGCTACAACGCCGTGATATTACTGGAATACTGTTACAAGCGGCGTTAAACCCAACTCACTCACTCACTCACTCACCCTTATGCTACACCACCACCTACACCGAGTGATCGCCGCGATAAACGGTATGTGTGACACTCGTTGTATATGAAGTTACTCCACTGTCTAAAACAGGTTTCATTTGGCCACTAACGGACTAATAACTGACATTCTGACGTAAATATATATTAATGCGCACATTCCAAGTAAAGGTTTTAGTACCGTTTACAAGAGATGAAAATATCTTTAGCAAAGACTGAAATTAAAAATAACATTGTTTGATAAAGAGCTTATCACGCTTGTGTGTTTTGGAATGGTAAATATCCTGTATTGGGAAAAAGCGCAACGTACTTTAAATTTTTATTCGTAATAGAGAATACCCCGGTATTTACTATCCATAAACTCTATTTTTCTTCCCACAGACAAGACTGATGCACAGATATGCAAAGAAGACACCATAAACTCTCCCATTAGTCAGTGCAAACCCCTTTGGGAGATTGCTGTCTATATTTGACCTCCGAATGTGTCATTACAAAGCATTTCGAAACCCTTCCGGGAGGTGAAAATTTAAATCATACAAAACCAAAGAACACTGATGACTATCTGCGGGGAAGGGAACAACGATGAGGTTTTTCATTCAGATAAGATCTGCCGGCCATGTGTGTATATAAGTAAGGATTTGTTTGTCATCTCTACAGCAGGAGCCGTCTTGTCAAGGAGCAGGTGAGTTGGATCAAGGCGCTGGTACGTAAGAGCTTGTTTGTTTGTTTGTTGTTTAACACCGCACTATTCCAATTTTTATGACGACGCTCTGTAAATCTGGATCAGACAACCCAGTGATTAACATTATCAACAGTGATCTACGTAACTAGGATACGATAACATGCATCAACAAGTCATCGAGCCTGACCACCCGATTTCATTAGTCGGCTCTTACGACAAGCACAGTCGCCTTTTACGGCATAGTCGTCTCGTACGTGAGTGTGACTATTGTGGTGGTTTTATATATGCTGAACAAGTTAGGGATCATGAAATATTTGGGGATACTTTTATGAAATGTCTTCAATACTGAAAAAAACATCCCCCAAAATAATCATGATCTCTTAATAATCTGTTTTCAATATATATTAAAAACTATTGTATTCTCGGCCTCTTTTGCCATAGTATTGCGATCGTATGTGCTGTATAGTTCTTTGTCATAGGAATGTCGATTTTCTTGAATAATTGAAACCATTTGCGTCGTGCAAGGAATAGAGTGTCTGTCAGGGAGCGGAATGTCTGTGACTTCTTTGATAGGCATTTAGAAGTTGGAGTACTAAGTAAGGATAAGAATTTATGGATGAACAACTTCTTTATTACAATTAAGAGCGACGTTTCGGTGTAGGTTCTAACGTCGCTCTTAATTGTAATAAAGAAGTTGTTCATCCATAAATTCTTATCCTTACTTGGAAGGTCGGTGGTTCGATCACTGACCGCGTTATGCCAAGAGACGTTAAAAATGGTACCTGCTGTTACTGTGTCTGGTGTCCGACGTTGTATGGATAAAAGAAGGCAGGTCTGAGTGTTGTATCCGTGCTAAATTGCGTCATGTGGGCTAGCACTATAAGCCGGCATCAGTCTGGACTAGTATATGCAGCCACACACACACGGACTGCCCGTCGCTACATGAAACTATCTTAAACGCACGATTAAACCACATTTCACCTCACTTTTCCATTACCTCACCTCACCTCACCTCACCTCACCTCACCTCACCTCACCTCGCCTCTCCTCACCACCTCATCTTACCTCATCTCACATCACATAACATTACCTCTCCTCACCTCACCTCAACTCACCTCACCTCACCTTACCTCACCTTACCTCATCTCACATCACACAACATTACCTCTCCTCACCTCACCTCAACTCAACTCACATCACATCACATCACCTCACCCCACCTCACCTCATCTCACATCACATAACATTACCTCTCCTCACCTCACCTCACCTCACCTCACCTTACCTCACCTCACCTCACCTCACCCCACGTCACTTCACCTCAACTCACATCACCTCACTTCACCTCACCTCACCTTACCTCATCTCACATCACATAACATTACCTCACCTCACCTCACCTCACCTCACCTCACATCACATCACATCACATCACATCACATCACATCACATCACATTACCTCACCTCACCTCACCTCACCTCACATAACCTCACCTCGCCCAACGGCACGGCACGGCACGGCACGTCACATCATCTCACGTCACCTTACCAACCTTCTTCTCAGCAAGTTCTTTTTAACAATCGTTTGGTGTAGCCTCTGAACTGTTATCAAGCATGGTAATTATAGCAATTTGATAACTTCGGTATATTGCAAAGGCCGTCATTGGAGACATTACGACAATTAATGATCTGTATTTCCCTCTTCCCATACCCTTGTGCAAACTGTCGTTATTCTAGCGTAAAAGTGATTTCTACTATTGATGTTTTATCTTGCCAACGTTGTTTGGCTACAAGATCATAGGCATACATACATGTATCTGGAGAAAAATTCGACGGTTCAATAATTCGCTACTCCCGCGGACCACGCGATAAGAACAACAATCTTCACATCTTCATTTAACAGTGATACCATTATCTAGCTTCACCTGATTGTGATTAAACAAGTTCGTAACTTTGACGAATAGCAGGCACGGGTGGCCCGGTCGTCGCTAAGCAGAGTTGCTTCCCTTAGTGACGCTAATGACCTATGATCGTGGGTTCGAATCCCTGTTGCCGAGATGCCTCCCTTTGGCGTACCAGGATTCAATGATTGAGATGTTTTAGTCCAGATTCGCCCAGATTATGATTTTTGTAAGTACGTCCCCTTGGTTTTGATCTAAGTGCATCACATCGAGACCTGCATCGCCTCTGGCGTCCCTCACATATTATGATGACACGCAGTGATAGGAATTGTATATTTCCTTGGCGGTACAAAACACTTAGTTCATATTTGCCAAGTCATGAAACCAGCAGGGACCAGGGTGAGGCGGTCCGTAGTTGGAATCCCACACGTGCTTCGGACATTTAGCCTCTACACTACATGGAGGATATCCCCATGTGTCTTTTTATATCAAATATATCTACACGAGTCAATATAAGTTTAAAACACCGAGGCTTGTCGAGGAGTTTTAAACTTATACGAGTCTTGGTATATTTGATATCACAAGACAGAAGGGTGAGATTTTGTTTATCATCTGACATCATTCTTCCAACTTTTTCAGTTTGTAGACAGTAATAAGCAGTGTCTTAGTGTAAAAATATACTGCTGACAGCTTCATTAGCAGAGCCAGTAGTGATGTCATTTGATTGTGACGTCATAATAACCTGCAAAACATTGTGATGCAATTTCATTGGAGCGAATTTTACAATGTAGATATCGTTTAAGCTCACCCAAGCAGTATCTCCTGTTAGAGTTTTGGATGATAAAGCTGATTTACAGGTTCTTCTTAGAACTTTTAGTTTCTTCCGAAAATTGGATCATAACGTTAATAGTGTTCAAGTTAGATATTGCTTCCTACACATTACTCATGCATCCCAGAACAAAACACATTCTAAACTTTATTGGCTTTACGTTTTTTCTAACCTGCTAAATCTTTATTGAATGTTATTGCCGTCAGCGTACTGTGAGTTGCACGTGTCGTTCGTGGTGTAAGGAGTTTTACCAGCTGAATACAGGGACGACTGGGGTAGAAAATGAATTGGTGCAGGGGCGACTGGGGTAGAAAATGTATCGGTGCAGGGGCGACTGGGTGTAATGAATTGGTGCAGGGGCGACTGGGTGTAATGAATTGGTGCAGGGGCGACTGGGTGTAATGAATTGGTGCAGGGGCGACTGGGTGTAATGAATTGGTGCAGGGGCGACTGGGTGTAATGAATTGGTGCAGGGGCGACTGGGGTAGAAAATGAATTGGTGCAGGGACGACTGGGTGTAATGAATTGGTGCAGGGGCGACTGGGGTAGAAAATGAATTGGTGCAGGGGCGACTGGGGTAGAAAATGTATCGGTGCAGGGGCGACTGGGTGTAATGAATTGGTGCAGGGGCGACTGGGTGTAATGAATTGGTGCAGGGGCGACTGGGTGTAATGAATTGGTGCAGGGGCGACTGGGTGTAATGAATTGGTGCAGGGGCGACTGGGGTAGAAAATGAATTGGTGCAGGGACGACTGGGGTAGAAAATGAATTGGTGCAGGGACGACTGGGGTAGAAAATGAATTGGTGCAGGGACGACTGGGGTAGAAAATGACTTGGTGCAGGGACGACTGGGGTAGAAAATGAATTGGTGCAGGGGGGACTGGGGTAGAAAATGTATCGGTGCAGGGGCGACTGGGGTAGAAAATGTATCGGTGCAGGGGCGACTGGGGTAGAAAATGTATCGGTGCAGGGGCGACTGGGGTAGAAAATGAATTGGTGCAGGGGGGACTGGGTGTAATGAATTGGTGCAGGGACGACTGGGGTAGAAAATGAATTGGTGCAGGGGCGACTGGGGTAGAAAATGAATTGGTGCAGGGACGACTGGGGTAGAAAATGAATTGGTGCAGGGGCGACTGGGTGTAATGAATTGGTGCAGGGGCGACTGGGTGTAATGAATTGGTGCAGGGGCGACTGGGGTAGAAAATGAATTGGTGCAGGGACGACTGGGGTAGAAAATGAATTGGTGCAGGGACGACTGGGTGTAATGAATTGGTGCAGGGGCGACTGGGGTAGAAAATGAATTGGTGCAGGGGCGACTGGGGTAGAAAATGTATCGGTGCAGTGACGACTGGGGTAGAAAATGAATTGGTGCAGGGGCGACTGGGTGTAATGAATTGGTGCAGGGGCGACTGGGGTAGAAAATGAATTGGTGCAGGGGCGACTGGGGTAGAACATGAATTGGTGCAGGGGCGACTGGGGTAGAAAATGAATTGGTGCAGGGGCGACTGGGGTAGAAAATGAATTGGTGCAGGGGCGACTGGGGTAGAAAATGAATTAAAAACCACTTGCCCCCTACCATGTTTGAAATTTGTGCTGAAAAAAACAAATGATTTGATTTTCAAAGTTCAGATGGTTAGTATGCCCAATAGCAGTTGTTTATTATGCTATTATAAGTTTTTAGTTTTTAAGTTTCAGATCAAATGATACTTTTTTTAAATAAAACCATGTAAAAATATTCGTTGAATGCTGAAATGGCGGTACAGTTTATTTTGAGGATATAATTTTGATAAAATTAAGATATTTTTAAATGAAAATGAAACATGTGATAAAATCAACTGAGACTTATAGTTGTTTTTGCCCCTCAGTAGATCTGTGGCGCACTTTCAGCTCGAAGTGCGAACATCGTTACTTCTGACGTGATAGGAAGTGACGGCACAACAAATACTATGACATCACGACGACCTTAAGAGACAGCGAATGGACAATCAGTTTGCTAACGATTATGATAAAGAAAATTCGAAACACCTAATCCGAGACATTGCCAAACAATCAAGGACTCATTCTCTGTTCGTAAAATGCCAGAGAACAGGGTTGTTTTCTTGCTCAAATGTTGGTTGATCAGGGTTGCAACATCCAAGGCCAACGCAAAGCTTTCAAAATGTTTTTTTATGGTAGACATGACCTTTTTCGTAAATAATTGCCTTGCCCTTGCGTGTGATATTACGTGTGCCACCACTGGGGCAGGATATGTTCACGTAAAATGCCAGGGAACAGGGTTGTTTTCTTGCACAAATGTTGGTTGATCAGGGTTGCAACATCCAAGGCCAACGCAAAGCTTTCAAAATGTTTTTTTATGGTAGACATGACCTTTTTCGTAAATAATTGCCTTGCCCTTGCGTGTGATATTACGTGTGCCACCAATGGGGCAGGATATGTTCCCCTTTTCGCGAACACCTGATGTCATAACGTTTTTAAAGTGATTCATAAACAGTTGGTTGGTTTGTTGATTAACGCCGCTCTCAGCAATATTCCAAGTATATGACGGCTGTCTGTAAATAATCGAGTCTGGCCATACAATCCAGTGATTGACTTCATGAGCATTGATCCACGCAATTGGGATACGATGACATGCATCAACCAAGTCAGGGAGCCTGACCGCCCTACCCCGTAAGTCGCCTCATAAGACAAGCATAGTTACCTTTTACAGCAAGCATGGGTTGCTGAAGACCTTTTCTGACCCGGATAGTCGGATTCGAGCAATGGGGTTTGCTTTTAGCAGAGATTTCTAATAACTGTGGAACATTTTTGTTGCTTTTAGCTGTTAGGGCAATTTTGCAATAACACAACGTGACATATGTTGCAGATATCGGACAAAATGGACTACCTTTACACATTGATGGCACTGGCACTGGTCAGTGTGAGCGTTCATGGCTTCAGCTTGGAAGGAAATGGTACGTACTGACCTTCGCCAACACATCTATTACTATTCCAACACTCCTATTAAGGAACAAACCCTCCTATTAAGGAAAAACAACAACAAATACTTAGTATCTTATTAATAGTGTTTCATCACTTAAAAAAAACAACTTATACATTTCAGTACCTTCCATCAATAAATCATATTTTTAAAAATATAAATAAAACAACGCCGTCCTCTATGAAATGTTAACTTTGATGCACATACATAACACGGGGCACGGGTGAACCAGTCGTCTCAGGCACCGCACTTCGCAGAGTAGAGTTGCGTCCCTTGGACACGCCAGAAACGTATGATCGTTGGTTCGAGTTCGTTGTGTCTAGGTTTGTCAGCAAACCCGTGCTCGTGGGTTTCATCAAGTGATAAACGCCTGAGACCTGCATCACTTCGGGCATTCCTCTCACGTCAAGCTGATTCACTCACTCCCGTGCATAACAAAGCATTTTTTTAAAGATAATCCGAAGTAAACAGACTGCTTTATTGTAAACCCTTTGTCGCGAAAATCGTTCAAACTAACAGCGTTTACTGATTATACACTAAGGCAGGAGGTATTTTACGGCAAAGCAATTTTCATCCTATAATCCTCGGATGTGAGGTTAGCATGAACGACACCATACATTTTTTAGTTGCGTGATCGACCACCACAATATTACTGCACGCCAATCAACACGACCCTCCTTCAGAACGCTTACCTACGTTCACAGTGAGGTGGTATACTCGTCTTCCACCGTCAGCCAGATCTGTCAGGTGCAAGCACGTGCACGTCTCCATAGACGTGCCTCGTGCTGCCTGCACCATTGTAACCGTAGTCGGAGTCAGAGTCGTGATGAACGTCAGAATAAGAAACCACATATCACAGTTTACATGAAATACGCATGCAGCACTCACTGCTATGAACCAATCTCATTAAAATCAGATCTTAGTTCTCGCTATCGCTAAACAAAGATTTCAGGACATCCCATTACGGGTCACGTTAGAACTACCTTTAATCCGACCAATCAAAGCGTCGCTTACCAGATCAGTCGTGACAGTCGGAATTTGTTTTCTAATCATGCAACCTCGAAAACGTTAACACGGGGTATTCCGAACGACAGTAACGGCTCGTACCACTGATTCCGTCAAAATCATCGTCTTTCTCTCGCTTCCCTGGGATAAAATATTTGAACGGAAGAGGCGTTGCACAGTACATGGAAAGCACTGCTATACCATCGCAACCATACATTAGACATCCTGGAATGTTTGTTTGTTCAGTTTTCATAATTTTAATCGAGAACATATTTTTCAAGCGTTGTCTGAAATGGAAGTCGCCAGGTTGAAACGTTTGCCTTAAGGCTCGAGAAAGCTGCTCTCTAATTGGCTGATGTCGACTTCTTGTTAGTAATTTCAATGGTCGGTCGAAGTTCGTACGAAAGGTCGTTCTGTTGTGACCCGTAATGGGATGTTCTCAGATCTTTGTTTAGCGGCAGCGAGAACTCAGATCGGATTTTAATGAGATTCTGCTATGAACTGAACTACCCTCTGGTATGTTGGGCCGATGTTTCATTGACTAAAAGACTCGAGTTTTGACTTTGAAATGTTATAATAGAATAATATTAAGTTGCCGACCATTTGACCATAGATCGGTGGCAAGCTCCTTCACAGCGCGTGACACCTTCGTTACACTCTCGGTAGCATTGCTGCCACCAGTGTGGGCGCGGCCATTACCAGAATCGTGAAATGTGCCCTCTAAACCCAAATGTAGGAACGTTTATACTTTTGTTTATGTCTTTGGGAATGTCATCGTAGTTGTTTTTGAAAAGGTTCACGACTGACCATATTTCCCATATTAATTTAACTTTGTGTTTGTTTGATCTGTTGGTCCGAGATTGCAGACGAACGGAAAATGACTTAACCTCCCCCTTACATTCTTACTATTCCAATTACATGATAGTTGTAATGAAATAGAAATTTAAATAGATAAACAGAGAAAATAATTTAGCAGGAGTAAGAGTATTCGGCGCCACGGCAGTCATAACGGTCAGTAGGTTGCGAGTTCAACTCCAAGCATGGTTGTGGCCACACATCACGGTGCGGAGTTCTGACAGGTGGCAGTGATAGTATAGAGAGCGCCGCGAACGGGCTATCGCTGTGAGGAGCTTGGGATCGGTGGATGGTGTTTATTTGACCGCGAACTAATTTGATACCATCAACTGTTTTCAGCAGTCCTCTCGAGAGAGAAGAGGCAGACAGGAGCATCTTGCATCAGCAGTTGCAGGGGGCTTCCCAACGGGGACTACCAGTCATGTGTGTCGTGTCGGTTTTATGCAACGTGTGACAACGGGCTGCTGCGGGACCGCCGAGAGTGCCCCCCGCGTCAGATCTGGGATGACAACCTCAAACGGTGCGAGTTCAATAGTGCGACCTGTACACTACCTACGAGTATGACCACGACCAGTGCCACGACGACTAGCGCCACCACCACAATCCCAACAAGGTGAGTGTAACATGGGGAGGTAACACATGACCAAAAGCCGGATTTTTCACCAATGAAACTAACGCAAATACAATAATAAATAATGACCGGAATTGCATACGATTCCCAGATATGAACCAATTTTATGTATTTAATTTAAAGCTACACCTTTGAAACATATGATCAGCCTTTATTGCCCATTTGCATGAACTAACTCTATGAGCGTATTTCATATGGACCTCGGTTTAAACGTCCATTTCCAAACATGAATAAATTTGGGGAATACTGTCATTTCGTCTTGTGTTTGGTTGCTTTTCTTAAGTGTTTATATCAAACCAAACGTTCTTCGTTGAATTTTTAACAGGCGGACGCGATGTTATTGTCATGTACCAAAGAATATTCGTGTTATTACATGAGTGTTTCCGACCCGTGAAGATTCCGGGGTAGAATTCCGGGGTCTTCAGCAACCCATGCTTGCCGTAACAGGCGACTATGCTTGTCGTAAAAGGCGACTAACGGGATCGGGTGGTCAGGCTCGCTGACTTGGTTGATGCATGTCATCGATCCTAATTGCGTGTATCGATGCTCATGATGTCAATCACTGGATTGTCTGGTCCAGGCTCGATTATTTACAGACCGCCGTCATATAGCTGGAATATTGCTGAGTGCGGCGTTTAACAACAAACCAAACCAAACCAAAAACATGAATGTTTCCAATGATAAGTGATCAGGCGAAAACGTATATTGCTCCATTTGTACACATGCTCCCCGGTGATCTGTGAGGCAGGTGTTTTGTTTCTTTTCGGTACCAGGATCCGCTTGCCCTCCGTTCGAACCAAGATTCGTCCTATTTCGTTGACAGCAGTCGACCTTTTCCCGCTGGTTTCACCAAAGTGTTACACGATGTTCGTCAATATGGACTTCCTCCCTTATTGGTTGTGTGTTGTGTTGTGCCATAAACTTAAATTGTCCAGCTACATGACATCGGCCTGTTAATATTCGTGCCTGGATATGTATGCCAGTGGTCGATAGAATGACCAACAATCGTCGACGTCGGGATGTGGCGACCTGTCGTCCATCGTACAATGAACTCTGCTTTATGCAGAGGTTTCTATTGGATATGGAAAGGGTTTTGTCGCTTTATTTTTATGTGCAGATTAAATTTTTTTTAAATGGATCAAAGAGGGTTTGGGTGATACCGGCACAGTCAGCCTGGTAAGGCTCGTGATAACCTCAGTGCCCTCGCCCCCTCTACACGCAGCCCAGACAGCGAATGGGACTTCTCCCAGGAAGCGCTGCCCAGTCAAACCCACCCAGAACTTTTCGAAAAATGTGAAGACTCCCCATCACTGCAGCCTTCTGCGTTACCCAGATTGTCAGAAGGGCTGTAGTCCTGGTAGCAAACCCTGGTACTCTCCCAGTCAACAAATGGAGAGGTACCAAACCTAAGGCACAGAGAACAATGGGGAGGCAGACAACTTGGAACTTTGGATGCAAACCTGATATTTCGAAAGCGAGGTCTGCATATTTGCTATGTTTTTTCCTGAATCTTGTCAATCACACTGGTGTCAAAAGGGACAGAAAATTCAATAATGCAAATGATTTCATTGGATTTATCAAAAAGGACAAGATCAGGTTTGTTGGCCCGGATACGGTTGAGACTGTATACGGACCTATTCCCAAAAAAATGTGTATTTATCATTTTCCATGACGCCCTCTACATATTCTGGGTCGTACCATGGATTTATCTCTGTGTCAAATCCACAAGCATGGCGAAGGCGGTAATAAAATGACCGAGCCACTCCATGATGTCGCTTGGTTATTTTTGAAAGTTGTCGATCAGTAGCGAAAAGAAACTCCTTTGACCGCGATGCCTCCACTGAAAAGTCCATCGGGGAGAAAGCTTTCAACCAGCATAAATGTGAAAATGTCATTATTTTGTGAACTGCCTTTTTTGCTGTTATATATTCTGACAATATTGTAATCTTAATATATTTACATTTATTCCGCGAAGAGGCCACTGGTCCATTTACATTGATAGGATAATAGTGTTCTTTATAAGAATATGATATTAAGGGATAATCCGGCGGAGTTTCTCTGTGCATCTGTTTGCTTTATATAGCGATGGATTTACTATGCTAGTTGTTGTTTCCTTGGCATTACACATATAGCTCTGGTTGCCTTGAACGCATTCTCTTCCGCCACTTTCTTCACCTGAAGTAATGGACCGCCTCCGTGGTCTAGCGGAATATCCGGGGTTCGATCCCAGTAGTGTCATACCAAAAGACGTTAAAAGATGGTACTTGTTGTTACCCTGTCTGACGCTCGGCATTAAGGGGCTAAAAAAAGGACTGGTCGGCTCGGAGTCAGTATACTGTGTCTGAGTGGGGTATTCGTGTTAACACTCATCAATACGCACATACACAAACACGCGCGCGCGCGCCGCTATGTCAGTACAGTAATCTTGGACGTGACTAGTACAAACAGCCACACACACACACGCGCACGCACGCACGCACGCACGCACGCACGCACCCACGCGTCGCCATGTCAGTGCAGTAATCTGGGACGCGACTAGTACAAGCAGCCACACACACACGCACGCACGCACGCACGCACGCACGCTCGCTCGCGCCTCGCCATGTCAGTGCAACAATCTTGGACTGTATGTTCAAGCACATTCGATGGATCGGCGACTTGACATTAACAATCTCATCCCCGAAAATTCTCTATTTATCAAGTAGGGAGTAAGGATAATGAGAGAGTGAATGAGTGGGGTTTTTACGCCGCTTTTAAAAATATTCCAGCAGGGAACACCACAATTGGGCTTCACATATTGTACCCATGTCGGGAATCGAACCCGGATCTTCGGCGTGACGCGCGAACGCTTTAACCACTAGTCTAACCGACCGCCCCGTGTCAGGAGAAAAAAATGGTGTTTGGATATCAGCATCCTTTATTCATGACAAGTGACTCGGCAGAGTGATTATTATTCCGCTTTCAGTCATTAAGTTTGCTTGTCCAGGTTCGATAAGGCTGAATAAAGAAGTTAAATGTTTTTTCAGGCAATGTTTCTCAAAAGTGACGGTAGTTTTTTTGTTTTTTTTATATTGAAAACAAAAGAGATGAGGGACGAACACTTTTCATTTTGTCCACTCCCATTCCACCCCACCTGCAACCTGTAAACAATTGGGTGTTGACCAGACAATCCATACTGAATTTCTCGAAGTGACGCGCCGATGCCGAGGTACCGCACCCACACCTGCACCTGCATCTATATACCTTCGATTCCCGACATGGGTACAATGTGTGAAGCCCATTTCTGGTGTCCCTGGCGTGATATTGCTGGAATATTGCTTAAACCGGCGAAAAACCACGTTCGCTCACTCACTGTATTTTTCCAAAGGAATATTGTTAATTCTCGCACTTGACATGTTGTTTCCTATTGTCTTCCAGCCCAACGCCTTTCGTTAACCCATGCATCACAAGTTGTTCCCTATTGTCTTCCAGCCCAACGCCTTTCGTTAACCCATGCATCACAAGTTGTTCCCAATTGTCTTCCAGCCCAAAGCCTTCGTTAACCCATGCATCACAAGTTGTTCCCTATTGTCTTCCAGCCCAACGCCTTCGTTAACCCATGCATCACAAGATGTTCCCTATTGTCTTCCAACCCAACGCCTTCGTTAACCCATGCATCACAAAGTGGTTCCCTATTGTCTTCCAGCCGAACGCCTTTCGTTAACCCATGCATCACAAAGTGGTTCCCTATTGTCTTCCAGCCCAACGCTTTCGTTAACCCATGCATCACAAGTTGTTCCCTATTGTCTACCAGCCCAACGCCTTTCGTTAACCCATGCATCACAAGTTGTTCCCTATTGTCTTCCAGCCCAACGCCTTTCGTTAACCCATGCATCACAATTTGTTCCCTATTGTCTTCCAGCCCAACGCCTTCGTTAACCCATGCATCACAAGTTGTTCCCTATTGTCTTCCAGCCCAACGCCTTTCGTTAACCCATGCATTACAAGTTGTTCCCTATTGTCTTCCAGCCCAACGCCTTCGTTAACCCATGCATCACAAGTTGTTCCCTATTGTCTTCCAGCCCAACGCCTTCGTTAACCCATGCATCACAAGTTGTTCCCTATTGTCTTCCAGCCCAACGCCTTCGTTAACCCATGCATCACAAGTTGTTCCCTATTGTCTTCCAGCCCAACGCCTTTCGTTAACCCATGCATCACAAGTTGTTCCCTATTGTCTTCCAGCCCAACGCCTTTCATTAACCCATGCATTACAAGTTGTTCCCTATTGTCTTCCAGCCCAACGCCTTCGTTAACCCATGCATCACAAGTTGTTCCCTATTGTCTTCCAGCCCAACGCCTTTCGTTAACCCATGCATCACAAGTTGTTCCCTATTGTCTTCCAGCCCAACGCCTTCGTTAACCCATGCATCACAAGTTGTTCCCTATTGTCTTCCAGCCCAACGCCTTTCGTTAACCCATGCATCACAAGTTGTTCCCTATTGCCTTCCAGCCCAACGCCTTCGTTAACCCATGCATCACAAGTTGTTCCCTATTGTCTTCCAGCCGAACGCCTTCGTTAACCCATGCATCACAAGTTGTTCCCTATTGTCTTCCAGCCCAACGCCTTCGTTAACCCATGCATCACAAGTTATTCCCTATTGTCTTCCAGCCCAACGCCTTCGTTAACCCATGCATCACAAGTTGTTCCCTATTGTCTTCCAGCCCAACGCCTTTCGTTAACCCATGCATCACAAGTTGTTCCCTATTGCCTTCCAGCCCAACGCCTACGTTAACCTATGCATCACAAGTTGTTCCCTATTGTCTTCCAGCCGAACGCTTTCGTTAACCCATGCATCACAAGTTGTTCCCTATTGTCTTCCAGCCCAACGCCTTTCGTTAACCCATGCATCACAAGTTATTCCCTATTGTCTTCCAGCCGAACGCCTTCGTTAACCCATGCATCACAAGTTGTTCCCTATTGTCTTCCAGCCCAACGCCTTCGTTAACCCATGCATCACAAGTTGTTCCCTATTGTCTTCCAGCCCAACGCCTTCGTTAACCCATGCATCACAAGTTGTTCCCTATTGTCTTCCAGCCCAACGCCTTCGTTAACCCATGCATCACAAGTTATTCCCTATTGTTTTCCAGCCCAACGCCTTTCGTTAACCCATGCATCACAAGTTGTTCCCTATTGTCTTCCAGCCCAACGCCCTTCGTTAACCCATGCATCACAAGTTGTTCCCTATTGTCTTCCAGCCCAACGCCTTTCGTTCACCCATGCATCACAAGTTGTTCCCTATTGTCTTCCAGACCAACGCCTTTCGTTCACCCATGCATCACAAGTTGTTCCTTATTGTCTTCCAGCCCAACGCCTTTCGTTAACCCATGCATCACAAGTTGTTCCCTATTGTCTTCCAGCCCAACGCCTTCGTTAACCCATGCATCACAAGTTGTTCCCTATTGTTTTCCAGCCCAACGCCCTTCGTTAACCCATGCATCACAAGTTGTTCGGGTCGAAGCACTGGAAACTACCAGTGGTGCCAGACATGTAAGAAATACCTCACATGCACCAGCAACAACATGTACGTCCGTGACTGCCCTCCCTTCTTAATGTGGGACAACAACAAACAACGCTGCGAGGAAACATCAACAACATGCGTAGAACCAACAACGACAACCAGTGCTACGACAACATCGGCTACAACGACTTCGGCGACCACTACCTCGCCGACTACTACCAGCCCGACGCCTTACGTGAACCCGTGTATAACCTCCTGTAGCGGACGGGTGGATGGGGACTACCAGTCTTGCGTATCTTGCAACGTGTATGCGACGTGTTTCCAGGGCCATTTGCGTGACAACCGTCCATGCCCCGCCGCCACAAGTTGGGATGACAACTTGAAGCAATGCACAGGCTTGTCAACTACGTGCTTCTAAAAACAATCAGCTCCGGATATAAGAAACCCATAGAACCCTGTAATTGTAATGTCTGAAATACATTCCATACAAAATGACTATCGAAATTGCAATTGATCCCTCAACTCGAAAAGTTATCACAATTTCGAGACAAGGGGAGTGAGTGCCTTTATACAACAGTGGCGATACAAAGTGAAAGGTAATGCTCCATCGTGTAAAATCATGTATCGTGATAGTAGAGTTTGAGGTACAAAGCTTCAGATTAACAGATGGTTGTTTTAACAGTTCTCTGGGTCCAACTTGACTATTGCCGAATATTTAATTTTTGACATAATACATCTGCAATTTGAATTTGAAAGTGTTTGTCTTTTATTGATTACGCCGACTGGTTCGATTCCCCACATGGACAAAATGTGTGAAGCCTATTTCTAGTATCCCTCGCCGTGAAGCAGCTGGAATGAAGCTAAAAGCGGTGTAAAACCAAACTCACTCACTCACCCACACTATATTGAGTTTGTAACAAATGTTATATTTGGGATAACACTTTCTTAGTAAAGTACCGATTCTAGGGGGTTGAGTCCCGTACGGGACTAAGATAGTGTTATCCCAAATATGACATTTGTTACATTTGACCACTTTCTAAATGGCATTGTCTATTCATAGCTCATAGCCATGGGAGCCGTGCCAATTTACACTTGTCAGGGGGGTAATCAAAGTACGTGATCTAGACTACCAGTTGTCGGACTTTCATTTTGTGGAAGCCTCGGTGGCTGAGTGGGTTAGATCGCTGACTTTGTGTGCTGGCGAATAGGTGCCTCACCCTGGCAGGTGTGGGTTCGAATCCCGTACGGAACTCAACCCCCCCTCCAAAAGTACTAGAATCTGTACTTTACTAAGAAAGTGTTATCCCAAATATAACATTTGTTACATTTGGCCACTTTCTAAATGGCATTGTGTATTCACTTTATTGATGATCATATTTGGAATTCAGTGAGTGAATGTTGTTTTACTCCACATTCAGCTAGACTGCGGATAAATTACCGTAAATAGTCAAGTCAAGGAACGGCAAACCAGTGGTTGATAGCATGAACAACGATCAACGCTGTTGGGTGTGATGACACAGTTCGCTACTCCCCGCGACCACTGACCTAGTTGTTAATATGTAGCGTGTGACGCCGGGCACGATCGCCCACGGGGATTACAAACGCCCTAACGCCATTTACGTTAATTGTTTGATGTGAATCAGATCATGAAGGACGTGTGATTGACGTCATCAACAACGTCCTAACTGCGTCGTTAAGAGGAAACAGTTCTAGGCACCGCCAGTGAATCCATCGCCCCGTGAACATCCGGGTTACAATAGGTCTTCAGCAACCCATGCTTGTCATAAAAGGCAACTGTGCTTGTCGTAATTATATAAGAGGCGACCAAGGGTGTTAAGGCTCGCTGACTTGGTTAATGGCTGAATGTAACTGACGTTATGTGAATTTGGCGATCGGCTGATACACAATTGCAATCGTGTTATATAACAGTTGTAACATATGCAATCGTTTTATCTAATAGTAAACATCCTAAATTATATTTCAAGAGCGTATTTATAGTTTTTGTTGCGTATTTGATACGCTAGGATTTAATTTGTCTGCGTATTTCAGTATATTTAATGCGTATTTTACACAAATACACAGGTTATCTCGTGCTCTGAAATATACATTTTTTGTTTAATCAGATTGGTTCGAGATTGCAGACTAACATACAATAAATAGACTGGGTTCCTGTCTACTTAAACTAAATCGCGCAAGCTTGCGTGGCGTACCAACAGTAGAACCAATTTAATAAAATCACCCAACTTCCCCCTTACATTCCTACTGTACCAATTATATGATAGTTGATACGAAATAGAATTCAAATTGACAAAGCAATAATAATTAGCTGGGGTAAGTGTATTCGGCGTCACAAGAGTCATCACTTGTTTGTAAACAAAATTGTCAGTCGGTTGCGAGTTGAACTCCAAGCATGGTTGTGGCCACCTATCACAGTGGGGAGCTCCTGGATATTTACGCAATCATGACAAAATATACATTTGCATTGCACATGTATATAATACTGCACATATTTCGTGTGTCAGCATTTAACATTTAATGGCAAATCTGACAGCATGAACGTGCATTTCTCTAGATACTAATGTAGCATAAAGATCTGAACCGTTTCCCAGACATGATCAAGGGTCTAAGTTTCCAGAGGCATGGCTGGACCCCAGGGCGAATCCTATTGGCATACATGTATTATTCTCGTCATAACAATCAACTGTATACAATGTATCTGACAGATGAACAGAAGGCTAGCAAATGTGGAGGGTCCTCTACTTATACTCAGCAACTGTGCATATGGTTATACCCTGGGGATCTTAACTGTGTCCAGGTTATAAACTCTATTAGGACCCGACCCGACCCTCAGCCCCTGTGTGGGTGGAGGCTGGGTTATGGGCCGGAAGAGCGAAACTCAGTCATAATCAACTCTAAAATCTCTTCGCTTTCGTGAAGCTACAGTAAGACTGGTCACGCTACAGTAAACACGGGATATTGCTATACCGGGACTCTCAAATTACAAGAAAAACACAGAAATGCGTATACTGTAATTACAGTAGTAATTTATTAGATGCTGAAGTATAGTATACTTGCACAAAAGTACTTTACATTTAACAAATTTAATAACTCTAATACTTTAATATTTCATAGATGTACATTATAATTTCTACCCTCAATTTCTATTTGTACAATTGTGAATTCCTCGTCACCTCAGTATAATTCCAACCAAATATGGTTGATGTCCACCTCTTAGTTCCAGAGGAAATGGCGTTTAAAGCAATAAAGCCAAATAACTCCCATTTGGCCCCGCCCCTCAGCCCATCTATTTGCACAATTTTGTATCTTCGCCACCGGAGAATGCTTCTAACCAAATATGGTTGATCTCTATCTCTTAGTTCCAGAGTAGAAGTCGTTTAAAGCAATGACTCCAAATTACCCTTTATTTGGCCCCGTCCCTCAGCCCCTCACACCAAAGTGGGATGCTTCCGGTCAAATTTCGTTAGTTTGCCATTTGTGGTTCAGAAGACGTTTGATGACCCATCACTGAGTTGTGGGTCAGTGATGGGGAGTGGTTGGTCAGTGATGGGGAGTTGTGGGTCAGTGGTGTAGAGTGATGGGTGAGTGGTGGAGAGTGGTGGGTTAGTGATGGGGAGTGCGGATTCAGTGGCGGAGAGTGATGGGGAGGGATTGATTAGTGATGGGGAGTGGTGGGTCAGTGGTCGGTCAGTGATATAGAGAGGTGGGTCAGTGGTGGAGAGTAAATTGGGAGTGGTGGTCAGTGATGGGGAGTGGTGGTCAGTGATGGGGAGTGGTGGGTCAGTGATGGAGACTGGTGGGTCAGTGATGGGGAGTGATGGGTCAGTGATGGAGGCTGGTCGGTCAGTGATGGGGAGAGGTGGGTCAGTGATGGGGAGTGGTGGGTCACTGGTGTAGAGAGGTGGATCAGTGGTGGGGAGTGGTGGGACAGTGATGAGGAGTGGTGGGTCAGTGGTGGGGAATTGTGGGTCAGTGGTGGGGAGTGGTGGGTCAGTGGTGGGTCAGGGATGGGGAATGGTGGGTCAGTGATGACGAGTGGTGGGTCAGTGGTGGGGAATTGTGGGTCAGTGGTGGGGAGTGGTGGGTCAGTGGTGGGTCAGGGATGGGGAGTGGTGGGTCAGTGATGACGAGTGGTGGGTCAGTGATGGGGAGCTGTGGGTCAGTGATGAGGAGTGTTGGGTCAGTGATGGAGAGTTGTGAGTCAGTGGTGGGGATTGGTGGGTCAGTGATGTAGAGTGATGGGTCAGTGATGAGGAGTGGTGGGTCAGTGATGTAGAGTGATGGGTCAGTGATTGAGAGTGGTGGGTCAGTGGTGGGTTAATGGTGGGTCAGTGATGGGGAGTGGTGGGTCTGTGGTGGGGAGTTGTGGGTCAGTGGTGGGGAGTGGTGGGTCAGTGATGGGGAGTGTTGGGTCAGTGATGAGGAGTGGTGGGTCAGTGATTTAGAGTGATGGGTCAGTGATGGAGAGTGGTGGGTCAGTGGTGGGGAGTGGTGGGTCAGTGATGGGAAGTAATTGGTATGTGATGGGGAGTTGTGGGTCAGTGGTTGGGAGTGGTGGGTAAGTAATCAGGACTGTTGGGTCAGTGATGGGGAGTTGTGGGTCAGTAATGGAGAGTGGTGGTCAGGGATGGGGAGTGGAGGGTCAGTGGTGGAGAGAGGTGGGTCAGTGATGTAGAGTGATGGGTCAGTGATGGGGAGTTGTGTGTCAGTGGTGTAGAGTGATGGGTCAGTGGTGGAGAGAGGTGGGAGAGTGATGAGGAGCGGTGGGTCAGTGATGGGGAGTTGTGAGTCAGTGGTGGGGAGTGGTGGGTCAGTGATGTAGAGTGATGGGTCAGTGATGGGGAGTTGTGTGTCAGTGGTGTAGAGTGATGGGTCAGTGGTGGAGAGAGGTGGGTGAGTGATGAGGAGTGGTGGGTCAGTGTTGGAGAGTTGTGTGTCAGTGGTGGGGAGTGGTGGGTCAGTGATGTAGAGTGATGGGTCAGTGATGAGGAGTGGTGGGTCAGTGATGTAGAGCGATGGGTCAGTGATGGAGAGTGGTGGGTCAGTGGTGGGGAGTGGTGGGTCAGTGATGGGAAGTAATTGGTATGTGATGGGGAGTTGTGGGTCAGTGGTGGGGAGTGGTGGGTAAGTAATCAGGACTGTTGGGTCAGTGATGGGGAGTTGTGGGTCAGTAATGGGGAGAGGCGGGTCAGTGGTGGAGAGTGGTAAGTCAGTGATGGGGAGTGGTGGGTCAGTGATCGGGAGAGGCGGGTCAGTGGTGAGGAGTGGTGGGTCAGTAATGGAGAGTGGTGGTCAGGGATGGGGAGTGGAGGGTCAGTGGTGGAGAGAGGTGGGTGAGTGATGAGGAGCGGTGGGTCAGTGATGGGGAGTTGTGGGTCAGTGATGTAAAGTGATGGGTCAGTGATGAGGAGTGGTGGGTCAGTGATGGGAAGTAATTGGTATGTGATCGGGAGTTGTGGGTCAGTGGTGGGGAGTGGTGGGTAAGTAATCAGGACTGTTGGGTCAGTGATGGGGAGTTGTGGGTCAGTAATGGGGAGAGGCGGGTCAGTGGTGGAGACTGGTGAGTCAGTGATTGGGAGTGGTGGGTCAGTGATGGGGAGTGGTGTGTCAGTGGTGGAGAGTGGTGAGTCAGTGATGGGGAGTTGTGGGTCAGTGATGGGGAGTGGTGTGTCAGTGATGGGGAGAGGCGGGTCAGTGGTGAGGAGTGGTGGGTCAGTAATGGAGAGTGGT